AGAAGGAGGTAATTTTCTCTGTTAAAGCAGACAAAAGGAAGCTAGCAATAATTCAGAACTAAGTGCTAAGAGGAGAGAATGTGTGGACAGATAGGGAAGGTTGCAATTTATGATGCCTAAGGGTAAAGTGAAAGATTAACAGCAAGTAATAGTTACTTTTTTCTGAAGAGTGTGTTTAAGCATTGTGTTCAGTTGCTAAATTTAAAGTGTAACTTAAAATACAGTGAATTTCACCTCTTGCTGTTTTCAGATAGTTTGGGCTTGAAGTGAAAAAGCCAGTGCCTCTTGACATTTTATTTTCCCTCAACTTAATCAGTTCTTCCATTCATTTTTCTAAGGAACATAGGTGATCATTTAGGCTTGTGTAACTGAGAAAACAATTTGCCTACTAGTGTTTAATAAGCACCTAAGTATATATGTAATTGAAATACCCACATACACTAATTTCTGTCGGGCAACTTACTTTGGATTCTAGGCATCAAAGAGGGTACCAAAGGAGGGCTTTCATGGACTATTGCTTACCTGTATGAGCATTTAAACTTAAGGAACAGCACGTTTAGAATTAAAGAGATGAAGAATGTCCTAAGGTTGTTTGCAAATACATCAAAATGTTTTTATACAGGACAGCAGCTGAACAGATTGACAGTCAAGGCAAGTTCTATCCAGTGTAAACCTTAGGCTTCAAGATTGTACAAATGTAGGTTTTACATCACTGTTGGAGATCTGATGCCACTGTGCAGTCCAGTGTTTGTTGCTTTGCCCAAGTGAAAGACTGATGATGTGTCATATGTTTGTTTTCTGACTTCTTGATTTTACTGAAGACTAATACTCACTATTTCGTATCAAGCAAGAAATATTGTGCATTCAGGATGAGGCTCGTGTGCTTCATCTTCAGATCCTTACAAATAGAAAATAGGCATTGCTCAGCTCATTGTCAGAGTCCTTATCTTGTTGTTTTAGAGAAGCCCTTTTTAAAATCTGTGACCTTTAAGGGTTTCTTCTGGTTTAGCACATAAGTTTTTTCAGCCTGTACATGCTTTCTGGAAAATAGAAAAATTCAGGTAGATCAGCTGTTAAAACTAGTGGTTATTGGCAAACCCTTGATCATAGAGTACTTAAAAAAAAATCAGATTAATGGGTGGTTATTTCTGTTATTACCTGTTTCCATTAAATGGAGCAAATGAGCAATGCAGTCCAACTTTAACTTTGGCTTACCCAAGTTGCTTACACTGTATGGGTTGTAATAATTTGTGTCTGGGATTTTTTAACAGCTGTGTCTAAATTGTCAACACGGCTTATAACTGTTTAATGCTTTATTTCACGTGAACATATACAAAACTTTTCTGCATAGAAAAAGAATTCTGCAGTTTTGAGAAACTGTGAAAATGGAATTGTCTGTTTTTCAAATTTGACTCAAATCACTGAAAATCTGAATAGTCAGCATGAATTAGTTAATTTTTTTGGCAATTTTTTCCTGTGCTTGTGAAATAGTCTTAAGTCAGACCTTTTAGTTCTGATGTACATAGTTATGAACATTTACTAGCTCGCACAAAATGATGCTTTTTAATTCTTTGAAATTTGACGCTTGCTTTTTCATCTCTTGTTTTATCCACACCTTGAATGGACTGTCCAATGGGGTAGAAGTTGGTGGATTTCAGATACATATGTATCTAGCTAAAGTTGTAGTGGACTGATGAGGGAACATTTATGAATATTTATTCTTTCATTCTCTTTTTCCTCAAATTTTGACATGCTGGAAGTCTTAAGTGCTCTTAAAATCAGGCTGCTTACCAAGCCAAAATACACTACAATAACTCTGTTATGCAGGAGGCAGATAGGGAGCTGACTGAGGAATGCAAATTCCAAATAGAATTAATGACTGCCTTGATACTTTAAAATATATACATTTCCTGCCTTTTTCATTTCCTTTGTATGATATATAGTCCCCCTGAAAGTTAAGCAAGAGCTCAAAGCAGTGATTTAGTATTATTTACTTGAAAACAATATAAGAATAATCTTGGAAATTATGAAATGGAGTAATAAAATATAAGACTTTTTAGAATTTTATTCTCAAAAGAGCCAATCCTGGAGTTGAAATAATTACCGTGGTGCTTTTACTTAGCCTAAGTCACTGTAATACAAAAGTAGCTGCTGCATTATGTAGTATTGATACAAGAAAAAAACCTGAGCATAAGAGCATGAATTCACTGAATTCCCATTACTGATTTTCAAGTGAATTAGGATATTCAAAAACTTGGGAAGTCTGATGCTTATGATGCCACCATTTTAAAGTAACTGTATTGCCTCTATTTCATTTCTGGAATTTGCAATAATTCTCACTTTATTAGTATTTTCAAGGATGCTGAGACCTTTAGGGGAGACATATAACAGTGCAGAGCCCTGTACCATAATATATTAACTAGCATCATGTACTTTAAGTAGAATTTCAGTCTTATTTCTGCAAGCTATTTGTTGTTTAAAGAATGAGCGTAATTTGTTTTCTTTCAAAGTACTGTGAAAACATAAACTTGCAGATAAGTATAATACTTCCTTCTTTTGCTGACATGCTAAAAAAGCTCATTTTGATATCCTGACATCTCATCATATCCCACAACGCCAAGAAGGGTAACCTGAATCTAGAATATCTTGCAATTTCAGTAAGCTGTTCTGGAGATAAGGAAGATAGCTGTGCTTATACACTATACAGGTGGTTGTCATAGCTTGCCCATGACAATATTCTGCTGCTGCAGGCAGTGTCTTTCGTGTGAGATAGAAAGATACCATCTTTAACAGCGTTTGGCCCTTATAACTGCTGTGCCAGTCTGAAAAAGCATGAGAGTTAAGTAGCAAAGGGTGAAATAATTTCAACTCAAAACAAATTCCTTTTGTTGGTCACCATTCCTCTAGCCCTTTTTTTGCAGGGGCTGGGACTAATATTTCTCTCCCCTGGAAACTTGGCATAAACAGCTGTTTTGTGCCACTTTGCCAGTGGTGTCTGTGTTAATAATCTCGTTCTGTTTTAGCACTCTTGCTGAAGCTGGCAGAACTCAAGTCATGTCATTAAATCAACATCTGGCCCTGGTTATCCTCACATACTGGGCCAAAAGTAGTCAGCTTTCCTTTTCATGTCCTTGCTATTGTATGGGACAATTTATTTATTCATTTGCCCATGGAGAAGTCTTCTACATATTAGCACTTCCCTCCTGCTCTCCTTCACAGAAAGGAGACCAAAGGAGAGCTGACTATCTTGTGGGGAGGTAGGGCCTATGGTAGAGCATCTCCTGCCTAGTCCATTTCTCAGAAGGCTCAGTGCGTTTCTGAAGTCCTCAGCCTTAAGCTGCATTAGCTGTATTCCTCCTTTTTAACTCATAGTGGGATCTGGAGAAGCAAAGGAATTTATAGCCCCATTTTGATTCATCTCATGGAGAGAGCAAGACTTCAGGTAAATTTCCATGAACTTCTATCAGCTTCTGGGGTTGGAGAACAGAGGATAAGGGAACAGTAAAGCTAGAAAGCTCTGTATTGAGGACAGAAGAGAAGCAGGAAATGCAGCAAAATTACAAGGGACTCATTCAGGGGAATGTTGAGCGCTGTTGGGGATAGAAGCTTTGATAGGTGAGAACTCATTGTAGAGAATTAGGTGTTTGTGAGGGAGCAGATGGATTTCCTGGAACAATCTACCAGGGCAATGGAGAATTAATGAATTGGAGGCTTTCACAAAGTTCATTGGGTACCTCAGTAAGTGAGCAGAGAGAGCAGATTCTCACTATGTGAATCAGGGTTCCCAATGTGATCATTTATTTTGCAGTATCTATGCATTTAATAATGGGATTTGTATTTTAGAAGCTAGATTCAGAGATTTCTTCTGGATTTTCTGGAGAGACTAAGGCAGTTACAGAGGCTGGGAATGGAGAGAAAGTAAAGTAATGGAAGAAATACAGAAAAAGTGGAAGAAAGCTCTGCAAATGAAAATGTGGTAACCTTTAACAAGATACTGTACTTAAGAGTAACAGACAGAGGTGCAACAACAAATATGATTGTGGTGAACCTGCAAGTTAAACACAGCCTCATATATTTAATGCGATTTTTGTACTTTTTAAAAACAAAACTGTAAGGATTTTATTTAAAAAAAAGAAAAACTAAGGCAGCAGAATTTATTAATATTGTAAAGTAAATGATACCTCTAGATGTGTCTCATTACCTGGTTCATTTTAGCCTCCTTTCCTTTCCTCCCTCCCAAAAGAATTCAAATTTGTGATGCCGATAAAGGCACTGTCATTTCAAAGGTACAGGCACCTACTGTCTTTGACCTGTTGTGAACATGGATGTCTGTGTATATACATGCATACATATATACACAGCACAAATTAGAACATTTATATTTTCTCCATCCAAGCTTTGAAGAAATGGTCTTGTGTATGTGTGCTATTTTAAATGGTAAAAGCAGAAATACTATAGGAAAAGATCATTGAAGGACTCAGCAAACAACAGCAAAGTGTACTAAAGTGATTACGTACTAAATTTATGGTTATTTTTAGGCCCTAGAGAAAATGCTAAGAAACGTTTCTTTTTTTGTATGCTAAATACTAATCTAATCTTATTTCCTCTTTAGCAATTGCTGTAACCTTGAGACAATTGTTAAGAACAGGGTATTCTGCATTTATTTACTAATATTCTGAGTTTTAAAAATTATTTTGAATACCCTCTTTGTTTATGCACTAGAAATAGCATGTCTTCTGATTTTCAACCCCTGCAGGAGAAAAAGCAGAACTTTTAAATGATACTGCTCACTAATTATTTTGATGCCTTGACAGTTTACCAGCCTGTAATTACTGACTTTTCCTATTACTCTGAACTGAAATAGCTGTAGTGTGTTCACTATATTTACCAGGGATGAATCACCTGATGCCTGCCATACTTCTACAGGAAAGGAGAAACTTCCACTAAAACTCTGCAAAATGCAGTGGTAACATCTTGGGGGTTTGTTTTATTGTTTTCAGGGTGCTGGGTGCACTGCACTGGTGGTAGCTGTGGTGGCAAGAAAGTTAGAACTTACCAAAGCTGAAAAACATGTGCATAATTTCATGATGGACACCCAGCTAACTAAAAGAGTAAGTCACACTTTATATTCACAACTGAAAAGGAAATGTGTGTTAACTTATTTCCGCATTTGTTTTAAATAGTCTCCTGCTCCATTCTCCCAATGAACCTTTTCAGAGGTGTGGTTTTGCAAGGAGGAGGAATTGAATGCATTGAGCTTTTCTCTGAATTGAAGGCAACTGCGGGTTCTCATCAGATTTTGAGGATTCAAATATTCTTCTATAGAGGGTCCTTGCAGCTGGTATAACCAACAGTTAAATGCTGTGGAACTAAAGACTATTATATTAAACTAAAAAACTTTCATGAAGAGGAGAATGCTTAAAATTTTGTAGCTAAAATAGGTGAAACAACTGATAGATACAAGAATTTCAAGCTATAAAGGATGCTCTTAAGAAAAAGACATATTAATAGTTTGTGAGACAGTCTTTCCGATTGCTTTGTGTACTCAACACAGGGATCACTTAGTGGCACACAGTACTGAAGTGCCTTGAAAAATGTTTGGAGGTAATAGTGTTTTTAGAAGAGAGCTTGTTAACTTACACTTACATTGTAGTCAGTTAAGGTCTGACAGACCTTAACAGACAACAGTTTGCTCCTTCCTAACACAGGCAGGCACTTTTCTAGTATAACCTGACAGCTGGGCTCAAAATGTCTTTCAGGAGGGAAAAAGGTTTTGTAAAGATTGGCTAGATTTTGAGTCTGGTGTTCATTTGTTCCTTTAAAGTCTATTTTATTCAGCTACCCTTCATAAAATCTAAGTATCAGTCTAATACTGTATCCAAATGATGCTTTGGTAGCTTCAAACTCATGAAACTCAAAGCACACAGAACGCAAATCAAGCGAACAAATCTGAGAGGCACATCAGGTCACAAATCAGTTACCCGCACCTTCTAGAAATGCAAGGATTAGGCAGAGATTGTGAGGAGGTCTCTAAAACGTGATTGTGCTTCCACTGAAGTCAGGACCAAGGTTCTGCAACACTGTTGCAGGTACAAGGTGGGGACCTCTTGCTGGGAATTCCTGCAATGCCTTGACCTAGACATTGACTTAGCTCTCATGCTGCAGTGATTGCCATGATATAAAGTTAGAGGGAGAGAAAATAAAGATTAATAATAAGGACAGTTTTCCTTTGCAAGTAATGTAGTCATTCTGTCATTAATGAGCATCACATTGAAATTCTTTGTCTGTTGTTTTCAAGCATTTTTGAAAATTTTGGAGGGCCTAAGAAGAAACTGTAGGTACTCATGACTTTTTATGGAACGTCTCATTTGAAAAACAAAAAATCAAAGCATGTATGAATAAAACACTGGCCATATTAATTGACAAGATATTTTTTCATCTCAGAGAATGGTAAAAAATGAATGAGAATAAAAATGTTTAAAAAAGAAAGAGAAAGTATGTTCAAACAGCTCTGGAAATTTAAAAGACTGTTAAATTGCTGAGAGAATTAAGAGGTACTAACCATAGAACAAGAAAGAGAGACATTTTATGATCCTATTAAGTACATTTACCATACAGATAATGCATTAGTATTTCCTCACTGTGGTTTATATTGCGTAAACACCATAACTCTTTAAAGAGGGACAAATAATTCCCCAATGCAAACAGAGCTGGTCCCAATATCTCATTTATAAGTAACACAGAAACTGCTCAGCAATCCCCTTGGTCCAGTTATTGCTTTCTGCCTTCAGTGCTGCAGCTTCATGATGCACCCGCTTCCTGCAATTCAGCAGGGTCTTCAGTGCTTTAGAAAGAGTTTATACCAGAAAAGAGAAAACATGGCATAACAGCCCGGTGTTTTTCTTTTATTAAACAGGTGAAAAATGCAGCGGCCAATGTACTCAGGGAAACATGGTTAATTTATAAAAACACAAAGCTGGTTAAAAAGATAGACCATGCAAAAGTAAGAAAACATCAACGCAAATTCTTGCAAGCTATTCATCAGTAAGTACTGTTTTGCTTTGGTTTTCCTCTCCAGGTGTTTTCTCTCTTAGTTTTCCTCTCCCTCATAGTCACTCTTAGTCCCTGTGTCCTGTCCTGCCCCCTCTCTTCTCTCCCCCTGCCACCTTCCCCTTTCACAGAACATTGCTCTTGAGGTTGATTTTTCTCTAAGAATACAACAAAGATAAGTTTTTACTGTATTACCTGTTTACCAAAAAAAAAAAAAAGTATGCTGGCTGTGTATGTCCAATATGGGGTGAATGTAACTTGTTTTTATTTTTTTTAGAAGTTTCCCATGCTTCTTGAATTATCTAAGACCTTTTTTCTCTTTAGCTGCTAAGACTACCCTTTGTTGTTACATATTTGCTTACAGATAGTAAGATGCAAGCTACAACAGACAGAAGAAAATCAAGAAAATTAAAAGTTTCATTTGTAGTAGACATTTTAATAATTTTAAATCAGAATGACGTGGTAGAAGAGAGCCTATGAGTATGTATGTAGTGTTTAGTTAGAAGAATATGCACCAAGAGTCATTGTGCAGCCCAACAGCAGTCAGTTGCCTCTCTCCACCATATATTTCCGGTGCATAAAATCAAGTGTTGGTATGTCAGGTGTGACTACCAACATCCATTCCAGAAAGTGGGAATGTATGCCAACAGTCATTGTGTGTCCTTTGAGCACCTCTGGCATGATTCAGACGAGTTCTTCCCCTCTACTGAAGTCTTAAGGGGTTGAAAACAAGCCTGAGAACTGTAACCAGTAGTAGGGTTAAGCTGAATTATGGTATTGCCAGACTATAAGTATTTATCTACAATTCGTAATACATATTTGTCATAAAGCACATCAAAACCAGCAGAATTGCCCGGTCATTGAGCTACTCTTCCTTGGAATACATGGGAGAAAAAAAGAGACTTTTGTACCCAGAAACCACATATTCTTCTTGACGAATGGTTGTGACCCATGCCACTATTTGTCTGGTCTGTTCGATGTTCCCATCCAGCCTGAGGCAGCCATTTGTATAGCCTATGAAATTAGTTTCCATGGGATACTGGGGAGACCTAGATAAATTAATTTTGATTGCAAACTGATGTTCTGATAACTCTTGTGTGTCTGAGCCAACCTGTGAGGAGATGTGAGGGAACCATCCATCATGAAAAGAACACCTATGTGTCATCTTGCACGAAAGACAGGAAGGAAAGGCCGGGTTATTGTATTTCCCAATAGTAAATTTAGGCTAACAGTCATTGTTTCTCTGTTTCATAGCAAGGTTTTAAAACAATGGGTAGCTAAGCTTAAGGTATGAAGTATTCTATAAAATTGATTACTATATTATGTTTAGCAAACTGGCAGGATTAAATGTTACTGTGCTATTGCAGAAATACTTGAAAGAGTAAAAAGATGACAAAAGTCAAGGCATTTTTATGTGGATATAAAAAGTGTATTTTGCCAGTTGGGTCATCCTGCTTAGCTTAAAGGATTGGGAGGCAGCAGAGAGGAGTGGCAGGGGTTCTGGGATAGCAGGTGGCACGTCCTGTGCATCCTTTGCTGGACTTGAATCCTTGATTGCAGGAGAAACATACTCCTTACCATTTTAACATATAAGGACATATTAGGACAACATATGCGGAAAATATTCCTTAACATTTTAACTTTGCTATTTATTTTGTCTGTGTGTGTGTGTCTGTGTGTGTGTGTGTGTGTGTATGTGTGTGTCTGTGTGTGCATGCGTGTGTGCACATATGTTCAGAGAAGAATCTAAAAAGCACAGCAGGCTCGATCTGCAGCTTTATATATCATTCAAACCTAGAAGAATTTCACAGGATATAAAGAGTTGTTCTTCACCTGCCTTAAAAATTCATTAATCAGGTGCGGTGAAAAGGTGGCAGCAGTAATTTTTTCCCAGCTGTGCCAGCCAAACTTTGAACAGCTATGTTAATAATGCATTTCCCTCTGTCCCTTAGTGCTTTGCATCCCATTCACAAAACTTTTGTATTTTAGAAAAAAAAGGAAAAAAAAGATAATTTTCTCAATGTGCTGAAGAATGTGCCATGGATAAAAAACATTGCTCTAGCAGTTTGCTTTCCTCCAGCTGTAGCAGAGTAGATGGGTGCAAACTATTTTTTCTCCCTTTGCATCTTTGAACTTTTCTCAAGTGACTGATCACAGTGTATGGCTCTTTTCCATCTCTCTGGATTCTTAGGTTTTTATTGGTCCCCTTCCTTCACCTTTCCAAGCATTTCACTGGAGACAGAAATAAAAGGAGTGAAGTTTCAGGGCCAGTTTTACACAAAAAAAAAAACAAAAAAACAGAGCAGATCATGATAATAGTCTCAAACTCACAGTCAGAGCTCTGAAACTGCCTTCTGCTGGTCTGGGTCTTTTTTGCTTCTCATGCACACTAAATAGGATGGAAGTGAAATCATCAATCTAAATTATACTATTAAAAGGCATTTTATGTACTGTATGAATAAGAAAATCTACAGATGATAGTTAATGGGAATGTTCGAAGCTATTAAAGGTTCCTTTATCATGAATGGAAGTGAATTAGACTCCACCTCAGGCATGTACTGATTGAAAGAAGTAGCAGCTCCCTAGGACTTCCCACCTGCTGAATCGAGCCCACTGTGCTCATTTGGTTGTTTTAGTATATTTTACAGTTTGTTTTCTTTTGTTTTGTCTTTTTATTTCAACAAAATGAAAATAGAGCTCGGAAGTAAGTTGTATAAGCTGTTCCTTTCTAAATTTGCAGAATTTACCACTGTCTGCATGCAGAAAATAGAGTCTTTATTTGTGAACTTCAGTGGTCTGATTGCTGCCATGGAAACGCGATCCAGATTCATGATCTTTTGCTGTGATAAGTGAAGTTTGTAAAATCAAGATGTTTCATATTTTCTCTTAATGAATCTAGGAATGAAAGTCTGACAGTTTTCTTTAAATCTGGCTGCTGCAGCTAAAGACTTGCCATTACCTAGAGATACATTTTTACACCCTTTGATAGGTATTGGGTTGGTTACCATGAGGAATAACCCATGTTGGTGTCAGCTGGTACATATTGCTACAATAACAGCGGATTTCTTGGGATTTTAAAATACTAACTGGCAAACAGATGAGTCAATGAACCATAAGAAAGGCAGAAAACAAATATTCTGCAAATTATTTGAGAGATGCTCACCAAAACACTAGGGTTATCATTCTCTGGTCAAATCATTACATGCTTACCTTTGAGTAATTACTCTGGTTTAAGACTCTAATGATATAACTCCATACCTTGGAGACTCCTCCATTTATTTTTTTTTTGCTTTAGAACAGCTGCAGCTCATAGCCTCTGAAAGCACCATTCCTACAGTCTGCATTTATGTTGTGCTCTGAAGGAAGCGTCCACGGGAAGAAGAGCGTATGCCATTCCAGTAATAAGCCACTGGAATGTCAATTTTATGTGAACAGTTAATTTCTACCTTAGCAGTGTTATTTCCATGTATTTTAAAAGACGTTTCTCTTCACAACTTCTTTTCTCTTGGTGGTTAGTCTAGATATGAAGGGAAATGCTCGGCAGCTAAAGATACGAACAGAAACTTCCTGATTTTGGACTATCTCCAAGAAAGCTTTCTTTAAACTAGCTAAGTAACACCATCACTGAGAAATAGGCAGAGTGTGTGTTAGCAACCCACCTGCCACAAAATGCTGCCAAACTCATTTTCATTTGACAGCTAACCAAATGGTTAACTTGGTTGGCCCTTGACATACTAGAGGACTGCATGGTATCTTATCACACATTATTTATAGATTGATACGTTGCTTTTGAAAAATGTTATTTCCTGCTTACAACAGCTGCCAGAAAAGTCATTGAAAGTCCAAGTACTTCTCTATTGGGAAATGTTGAACAAATGACTCATACTTAAGGGAGAAATTGGTTATTTGTGAAAATCATATCTACAAACCACTCCTCTAGTAGTTAATCTGAAAAACATGGACCTTGTTTCAGGGAATGCGCAGAGAAGGTCATGTATATATCTTTCAAAGAATGTGCATCAATAATAATAATGCAGTTAGGTAGGCAGCAAAAAGCAAAACATACCCTTGCTGCTTCTTTCATAGTTTTTCAGTGCTGTAGTTTAAATAACACATTGAAAAGGAATTTTAAAGTGTAATCATATTTAGATTCACAAATTATGTAAGAAAATCAAATGTATTGGCAAGTATGTTGGTTATTTAGCTGCTGGTCAGATGGAAATTCTGTTTAATATAATGAGAAACTCACTTATCACTGTATTTCCATCAGGTTCAAACACCTGCTAACCCAATCCATTTCCGACAGAACAGGGCTAATACCTGTATCTAGTCACGTAGGCATGGGAAGATTCGTGATTGCTACAATGTTAATGACAAAAACCAGTTCTTCTATGTTTCTTCCTATATCTACTTGTCACGATACTGAGGCTTTGAGGAATGTTTTGGCTTTATTTCATATAGTCTGGATAAATTGTTATCTCCCTTTTTGAATTCAACTTTGACCATGGCAAATGGTTTTCTCAAGGACATCACATCTCCTTGCTCTTTCCTTTTTTGCGGTGTTGAAGAAGCATGCTTCTCATTGTAGCAGGCACATGACCAGTTCTGACGTTACACAAAGTACTCGAGGCATTGTCCATGCAGTTATTTGCTCTTGTAAGTTTTGTGCATGCTTTGTAGAAATCCTAATTTGACCACATACACACAAATATCTGACTTAAAATCCTACTTTTTAGATTAAGAAGTGTAAAAATGGAACAAAGGAAACTGAATGATCAAGCCAACACTTTGGTGGACCTGGCAAAGGTTAGTGGGCAATTACTGTTATTTTAACATTTGTCCTTTCAAAATAAAGAGGTTTTAGGTTAAAATATTATGCATTACACATGCAGATGTTGTTAACAAGTTTGTTATTTCTAGAAAATGAAAATGTGTGTGTTTTGTGGTAACATCTTCTGAATGAAACACCGTGTTTACAGCTCTGACCAAAGCTTGAATGCACTGTGTTTTTTCTTTTGTACAATTGAAAAAGATTTCACAGTTGAGAGGGTTGATCCAGAGAGCTTCTGAAGTGACTGCAGTGGTCATGGTAAATGCTGAACTGTGAGTGGGACATAGTAGTGTAGTGCTGTGTAGTAAAGAGATTCCCTGTCCAGTGATAGTGACTGTGCCACGAGGGACCATAGTACACAGGCTGTCGTGCAGACTGGCATTAGACATTCTGGTTTTCTGTTCCTGTTGTCTTATGCAGCAGTCACTTTGGACAAGTAAATTTAGGTCTGCGTTTGTTTAAGTTTTTATAATGAATAATAGCTGCCTACTTTGCCAATATATCATCAGGCTTTATTAATCTTTTTTAAGCCATTTGAGATCAGGTAAAAGAGGATATTCAGTTGCAAACTGCTTGTCTATTGTTGCTGGGATTTTTCATTAATATAAAATAATAACTGGAGAGTTAGAGGGCTGAGCTGATAGCATTCCATGTTTCACATTAGACCTCAGTATTTAACAGCTACTTTGATCTTAATTTGGGGCTACATTACAGCCATTAATGGGCTTTTCCTAAGGATTTCTTGTACAGCTCTTCATGTACCTCAAAACACTCCTCAATTTAAAGTGCATCAAAGCAAAGATTAAATTCTTCAGCATTCATTCCCCTTTTGCTTTAGAGAACCACTTGACAACTTCAGTTGCCAGAAATACATTTCAGTCCAATGCTTCTGGCAACTGATAAGGACTTATAAGACACTATTTAATGTAGACTACTTTGCTTTCAATGGTTATGCTAGCATCCTGAAACAGGGGACAGAGAAATGGGTTATCAACACTCATCTGATACTGAAGTGCTTTACACTTCAGGCAGTCAGTCATTCAATTAATTTTCATTCCATTTGGATGGTTTATAAACTTCAACCAGTTTGTCTACTGAAGTACATCCAGTTTTTACTCTAGTTTAAGTCTAATCTGAAGTCTCTGTCAAAGGGGAGAAATTCAGTCCTTATTTTTAACCAGCTCCAAGTCTGTATGAAATAACACATTTTGGATTACATTTTTATGTAATTAATTAAAGTAATTAATTAAAATGACCACTATGGCATTTTAATGTAGACCCTATATACTTGCTGTAACCAAACACTGTTTTGCAGAGGGCAGATAGGTTGGGGAACACAGTAGTAGAGAAGCATACAATTGAGTTTTTAATCCTTGCACTACATTTCAAAACCAATCCACTCAACTACTCTTACTACAACTAGTTCAAGAAAACCCGGTCAGTTTAAGGAGAAAGCAGATGAACAACATTTGTGTTCTGCTTAGAAGAATGAGGGTGTTTAAAACCAAAGGAAATACAGATGACGCAAGGATGGATCATGGCTTTGGAACCTTTGGTCTACAGGTGGTTTACACAACCGACTCTTCACAAAGCTTAGCACAGTGCATTTCTAAGCACTTGAACTTCCAAAAATGGCCTGGTCTTTTATGTAATTCATTTAGACCTTGACATCTAAAGTACTATGCAAAATGTATTAGATTTCTGCTCAACAAATTTAGTAGAAAGTTTATTTTGAATCTACAAGGAAAATTATTTCACAAGACTAGATATTGTTATGATATTAATGTCCTTTTTTTTTTTTTATGAAGTGCAAAAGCATTTATGAACCCTTGTAGAGTTGTGCTGCTTGTTAGAGTATTTGTAAGGTCTCTAAACCTTTGTTTACATCCTTCTACTTTCAGACTCAAAACATCATGTATGACATGATTTCTGACTTAAATGAAAGAAGTGAAGATTTTGAGAAGAGAATTGTTACTCTGGAAAATAAACTGGAAACTTTAATTGGTAGCATTCAAGCTCTCCCTGGACTGATTAGCCAGACAATCAGCCAGCAACAGAGGGATTTCCTCGAGGCTCAGATACAAAATTATGACAAGCATGTTGCCTACAGTGCTGAACGGTCACGATCTTTGTCAAGAAGAAGGAGATCATCCTCCACAGCACCACCAACTTCATCAGAGAGTAGCTAGAAGAGAATAAGTTAACCACAAAATAAAGACTTTTTGCCATCATATGGTTAATATTTTAGCTTTTATTGTAAAGCCCTATGGTTCTAACCAGTGTTATCTGGGTTCTGATGTCAGAATCCTGGAAACCTGAACACATTTTAGGCCAAAATGAGTGAAAACTCTTCTTTTTTCCCCCCTCCTCCTCTCAGATGCACAGTGAATGCACCTATTATTGCTATATTAGATTGTTCCTCCTGTAATTTCACTAACTTTTTACTCATGCACTTCAAACAAACTTTACTACTACAGTATATAATATAATAAAAAGGTTAATTTCTGCACATAGTTGCTTGGTTACTTGGACTTAACAACTTAAAAAAACCTCACAATCGAAAGGCCTAATTATAAACTTTTAAGAAACAAAATTGAAGCTTAATGATGATCTCTCAGTATGGAAACTAATTCTCTAAACTTTGCTTGCAGTGGAGGGGGAAAAAAACCAATATTCATCTAACAGTGTGCTCTGTATGTATAGTCATTTTAAAAGGTCACTGACAGCTTCTATTTCTGAAGTGATTAATTTAAAATATAGTTTATCCTAGAAAATAAGTTATTGAGTATGCTATGGGTTTTTTTTAAATCTTCTTAGGGCTTTTGCTTAACATGCGTTTGTACACACGCACATAGATAATATATATACATATATATTTATGTATATAGAATTATTTATGCAATGCCCATGGCAAAGATCTTTTAAACTGACTATTTGTAAAGCTACTGGCATGCAAAAAGCACAGGTAAAGTCCTGTTCATTTATTCAGTGTCTTATGTCAGGTAAGTATGTCCAGGCAGAAGCATTACTTTCAAGCTGGAAGTCTCCAATTAATGCTATTTGGGTTTTAAAAGTGTTAGGTTGCTATTTTTCTCCACTCCCTTTTTTTGTGTTTAATGTTTCTGGAGTGAATGCCTAACACACAGAGTTATAGTACACACAATTGCCTGATGGCGTCACAGAGTACTGTATACATGAGCTTTGGGTAATCCCCAGGGTTTCTGCTATGCAGTCAAGCTTAGCAAGACACTTTTAGCAATATTTCCAAAAACTGTTGGAAAAAACCCTGCTGTAGGCTGGAGTTACGGCAGTGGGGTATCTGTGGTACTTTACTTTCATGCACAAATAATAAGGTCTCCTGCTTTCTTAAAAAAACCCACAAGGCATAGCATACACATTTCTGAAAAAGTTCTGGCTGGCTTTTCTCCTGGTTTATATTCCAGAGTAGCTACACTAGGTAAGCTTAAATGCTCAGCACACGCAACTTGCATTCACAATTCCTAATTGTAAACAGGAAATTATTTGACTTTATGAAACATTTTATAGTACCTGCTATTTATGAAATATACTAGTCCCACCCCATCCCAATTTGCAGATGAGGGTGACACTGTAGCCAAGCATAACAAGTAGGCATAGCTGACTGTATTCAAGGAACACTACATCTGCCTAGAAGTAACTAACATGCACATTGAAGGAAATGTCGATTGAGACACTGGGAGTTCTGGTCAGTAGCGACAGGCAGGGAAGATAGTTACTACTGCAGGAAGTCAGGGCAGACCCATGCTGGACAAGACAAAAGAGCTATTCTCCCCAGCACCCCAAATGCCCCAAACCAAACACATAATCTGAAAAACAGCAGACACTTTAGGCCTATTTAAAATAAAGGCTCTGCCATTTTGGGAGGTACAAAATACATAGCTGATGAATCTAAATTACATCCAGAGGCATTGCTTTTTTCTGAAAAGGTCAAGAGTTTCTCCAACACTTTTTGCGTCCTTCAGAAAGATGCTGACTTTGCAGTATTTTTTCCCCTAGATGAGTGGGACAGTTCCATGTCTTTGGAGTGCCTTGTTTACAGACTGTGGTATTATGACAGGAGATAATAAGCCGTATGCACACTATTTGCAGTTCTGCTTTTGTTTTTATGAAATTCATTTCCAACGGAAAACACAGATATTATATAGTACTAATACTGTGCTAACCCAGTCCTAAACTAGATGAGATTTTTGAGTGGTCGCAAGGCCACCTGCTTTACATGGTTGGCAAGATTAGAAGTAGTGATAAATAATATTGAAATTTAATTGACAAGTTTCAGAATTCTTTTTCTGAAGATTTTTGTTTGTCTGTTTTCCCTTTTTTTGTGTTTAATTTAGAATATTTTTCCTGTCATTGAATGTGAAATACACTTGCTGTAGCTTGAATACGTTCCTTTTTGTCCCGTCAGCTTGAACTAGCTCTTTAGTTGTTTACAATATCCTTTTTATATTTGTAAGACACTTTTTTTCTCTCCTTGGGATTGTACAACTGGGTTTTTAAAGAACTGTAGCTCCATGTTGAAAATTCTTGCCAATTTGTCAGAGTTAAGTTTGAGTTAAGATGTAGCTATAGATATTGAGCTGGTTTATTCTGATGTGAAAAGAGCAACCGTCATCTTTGACCACTCAATTTCCTTTACACACCAGGGCTCAGGAGCCTGAACCTACTACTGTCTTGCATCAGCTTTGTGCAAGCAGGGCTGTGGGATGTACCAGGGCTATCCCCATCAGTAGGGTTCTGTAACAATCTGCCAAACTCTTTTGGATTCCTTTCTTTGTTTTTAAGGCGTACAACAACTTATGTTACCGTGAATTACTCCCATTTAATTTCTTAAGTTACTCTAAAGCTTACTACAAATAATTTATTGGCATTTTTGGTACTGATGATTCTTTTCTTCTAATACCTGGTTTTGTAAAGCACTTGAGCGCCACATGTGAATCCAGTCCAAGAAAAGACAGGTATAAACTTATACTCAGGAGAGCACAAAGCAGTACGGGTTTGATTTTCTTACTCCTGATACAGAACGCCTTTTAATCTTTCCTTATTTGAGTCTTGTAGTACCACAAATTCCATTACTGCTTTTTTTTCCCCAAAACGAGTTCAGAGTGTGAGCTCACCAAAAGGAAAAAGTACCATTATGACACATCTCTGAAGCTGCCTGTGTAGTTGAATGTAGATTTTTTTTTTTTTAATATTGTTTGAAAATTACAAGGAATCTTTCCTAAAGTGTATGGCATATTTACCATGTTATGGTTGAAGAGTTTCATGCTCCTCTTGCTTTTAGTCTCACCAATAGGAAAATTCAGCTTTCAGCTGCTATTTTCACTGCACTCCAGATACCAATTCCATTTATCAGCTACCTGGGAGTCTTGTTGCTAATCCCTGTGTTTTTAGTGACACTTAGCAAAGATACCTTGCCTGTAAGGACTGCAATGTAAGCTCACAAATAATAGGCCTATTCACCATACTTTGATTTAAATAGTATTTTTTAGTTACATTTAAGTTTCTGCAGGGTCAGAATAATACATTCACAGATATTATACTTGCAAATGCTCTGCAGTTCTCAATTCTGCAAATCATTATCTATTGCAAGCCTGCAGATCTTCCCAGATGGACTTGTGTGACTCAGCCTTTCTTTACCTCCTGCTGCTCCATAAAGATGGATGTGATGTGGAAAGAGCTTCCCTATCTAAAAGTTAAGCATCCAGCTTAAGGAGCTCTGAATGCCTTCTGGAAATCCATAACTTCCCTTGTGAGGTATTTAAAAACCATGGCTCCCCAGACTGGATCTGGATCACCGTCATCATTAGAGGTGAAAGATAGGCAATAGGCATACTGTTGGACTGCTGCTCAGTTTGTAAGTCTCCTTCCAGGCCAGATCATATGTGGACATTCAAATTGATACACCGCACACTAAAAGCATATTTAAGCATAAAAGAATAAACAGTTTAAATATGAGTGTCTAATATTCAGAATAAAACCTGTTACCCATATCAGTACTACAGATGGAAATTTTCTGAAAGCTCTTTTCCCCCAGCTAAAGGTTATGAAAAGTTCTTAGTAAATTTTATCTACAGAAGGAAGACTTGCTGATTAGGAAGACTGTTCTCTCCCTCTGCCAAATTTTTTGTTGCTCATATTGTGGTTTTTTTTTTTAAAAAAGAAAGTCCTTAAAGTTCTTTTTCCTTTTTAGTCCACCCCTCTTGAAATAAGAGAAGCCAGATAAAGAGGGGAAGGGAGGAATGGGCTAACATCACCATGTCTCATTTTCTGAAGCCTACCCCTGCAGCGTACCTATGTGCTCAGGTGGGAACAGTCACAAATTTCCTCCACCAGCGCTCCTGGCTGCCAAGCCAGCTATAGAAGCCAGCTGTGGCCTGGGAAGAGCACTGCTATATCGGCACAGTCCTGAAGTGGAGCTTACACACGTTCAGAGCCAACCATTTATGCATGTGGAACTTTATGTATGCATAATAAAATTAACCTACATCTCTCAATCAGGGCTTATGTATCTGATCCTCTACCTGTTACCACAAGAGCAGAGAAGAGTGAGCTTTAATGCCTGTTAGCCTGTTTTCTCCAAACCTTGTATGGTGTATCTGTAAGGTTCTCTGCCCTCTCCATGGCTGAGAGAATAAAGAAAAGGAGATGCTTAGGAGACACTTTGCAGTCAGGTGTGCCCAGGTACGGCTCCAACCTGCCTGAGTGCCTCACCATCTGCATATCAACCCTGGTCCAGAAACCAGAGGGTTTCACTCACTCCAGAAACCACAGGTTTCACTCGCTATGCAGTGATTTAGCACAGCACTGAGCTCATAAGCCCCATCCCTCAAGAGCAGCCTGATGCGCAAGATGATCATGATTAACAGGAGAGTTGTGTTAATTCATGCAACTCTGCTCAAGACCTATGGCTTAGCACAGCACCAACCTTAACGCAGATGCCTGACTCCCTGCCAAGAGTTGCCTGCTGCTGGGCAGCACAGCACGTGGATGGAGCAGGTGCAGCATAGTCTGGGCTGGGGTGTGTAGACACGCTCTGAGAAAGCTAAAATGGAGGCAGTTGCCAGAATTAGCATGACCATACTGCTGCCTGTTAGACTTTATTACAGCCATACAGTTGAAGCTCCATTAGGCCAATAACTTTAAGGCTTAT